TCAAACAGCTCTGGAAAAACGTCGAAAAACGCAGCGTCATGATTAAGTCGATTTTGAAAAAAAACAGCCAAAACTGGATCTGGACTTTTTGAACAAATTGCGAGATTTTCTTAGTGGATACTCAACTGCCTAAACGCGCCATTGATTTMTCTCTCCTCAGATKCAAAAATTAGCGCTTTAGGTMAATTTGTTCCCAAAAAATGAGCGACAACGTGAAGAAAAACATGAAAGTTTAGCCTAACCTTRTACATAAAGGTCTGRTATTGAAATTCCKAGTTTKGGGMAAAACTGCCAAAATTTCCTCATGCCCGTTRTTCAACCTGAATGAAGTTTCCATTTGGTTACTCAATGATATGAGCGCAAAAAGCACAGTCGTAAAATTTTGAGTTTTGATCGAAAATGTATAAGGRTGGGGTAKGAAGTCGATTTTTTTWAAAATCCGAGTCTCTCAAAATGCCTTGAATTCTAYAWCGGAAGGAAGCGAAGAATGCAAGCAAGGTAKGAAGTGAAAAACACGCTTGACCCTCCACATAAAAAATAATGAACATTTTCTGTCCATTTTGAGGCGTTTTTCTGCGGTCAAAATCTAGCCGATGGTATCTTTCTTATTTTAAATTCAAACCTGTGTTGTTTTTTTTTAACTTTCTTAGGTCGGAAACACTTCAATGCGTTTTTTCCGCAAAAAAGAAGCGGTAAATTCAATGAGCTTCATAGAACACACACTAAAATATTCAGATCCAAAAAAATCTGCTACCTCCTTTCGCTCACAAGTTGTATTCGGGCGACCGAAATCTCATTAGCAAAATGTTGCACGATATACAGATTAGGAATCAACGGTGAAGGATACAAATGGTAGTGCTCGTTCTTCGTCGGGTAACCTTATACTTACTTCCGGAATTATCTTGTTTCTGTACCAGGGATTAAAGCTTTGTGAACTTGCAACGCTCACAACCAGAAGGATTAACAGCTTCTGAAGCATTTCTCTAAACATTTTTATTGCCATTTGCATGCAACGTTTGTTTTAATGAATCGCGTCGCTTTCTAAAACTATGCAAAAAACAATCACTCCATTAAATTCCAGCTTTCGAAATAATTCCGATTCAAATCCATTTATCTCTATCGCGTATTTCAAGCCGCTTTGTCAACGAAATTGCCAAAGTTTTTGCCATTTGGGATTGGGAGGATTTGATAAGGGGTTATTTTAAACCAGCGCATCACGCGTAATGATTTGTGAAATTGTTTTCTTTTATGTGCTAACTTCGTTCCGAATTGTTCAGGGTTCTGGCCGGTACCTGATGACTTTGTGACAATTTCAGCAAAACCTACATTAGTTGCAAAAGTTTGTGTTTGCAGCAACGCTCATAAATCCGTATCAAAACTTTGCTCATTTAATTTATGCAAACAGTATTGTCAGCAGCCACTTGTGAATAATTTCCTCGTAAATCTCGGCCACTAAACTGGTTGTAAAACATCGTCAGCCTTGCCACTCTGATTAGATTGCGAAAGTTTTTTTCGCAGTTAAAGAGGCACAACCACCAGATTCCCTCATGCAACAGTCTTGATCGTTTTTTAAAAGTCATTTTAATCTCGTTGGCGCAAATGCGAATTTAATGTTACGTCTGAAAAATTGTTTTCTGAATACAAATCTATGAAGGCGATCGCACTGAATTAAATTAGGTAGAAAATTAAATAAAACCTTTCTCAAGCCACTGGAGTTATTTAAGAGAATTGGCTTTTGTTTCATTTATATGAATCATTTTTTTATGGGCAATAACGGATTTTGCTGGATAATTTAGCACGCAATTTGCCTAATGATCAAGTCGCGTAAACAAAGGCCAAAGGTGAACTCAGAATTTTGCAAAGAATTTACATTTGCAGGAAGATTTTCCTTTTTACGTTGGAAGTTTTAATTGGAAACTCTGAGCAGTTATGTTTTTCTGTCCAGTTATGTTTTTGTTCATTGAATATTCAATAAAATCGGATTTTACAAAATCAGTTTCGGTCAATTTGCAACGAAATTTTTTCAGCCAGATTAAAGTTTTAATTTTGGCTTAGGATTTCCGGATTACCTGGGTTCCGGGATTATATGTTTGATCGGTTTCAGCGACAGATAAATCCTAATTTAATGGTTCTTTTAATTGAGGGATTAAGAGGCCAATTTCTGTTCGGTTTATTGGAATAGTTACGCTATTTTTCTGAGTGGAAACTTGCTTGAACACGCTTATTCTCCTCGATAAGGGATTAAATATGGATGGATTTCAACGGGAAAATATTCAGTTCGGTTATTCCAACTTTGTTTGAAATTTAAATTGGAAACTTTGTTGACAGTTAGATTCTAATATTTTGAATTAAAACAAAGCAATTTTGAGCTCTAATTCATTCACAGCCACATGGAAGAAGATCTAAAACCTTTCAGTATGTGTTAGTGGTCAGTCAATTAGGATGAGAACGTTGATAGAAATATTCCCTTTGCTCTTGATCTAAGTCTAAAAGCGGAATCGCACTAATTTACACATTTTCGTTGTTTCAGCCTATTTTCTGATCTCCGCAATCTGTCTGGAACGACCCTCATGAATTTGTTATCAGCGCTATTCATGACCCAACTACTCTATGTTATTGGTGTCGGAGGTGTAATGGTGAGTTTTATGGGTAGTTATTCCCAAATCGATGTTAAAAATGCCATGTCTAAGTCAGTTGCTTTTTTAATGGAAAAATCACATTTTAATGGAAATGCAACTGGATTTGCACATGCCATCGAAATCATAATTTTTGCGCCTGAATTCTAAGGAATTTGCCATTGTTTTTTGAATCAAACCAATCCTTTAGTTGATTAGTGAATATTACGTGAAGAACCGCCCTGGAGCACTTTGTGATTGCTAACGGCAATTTTCAGCAATTCACTGAAATTGCCAATTCGATTTCAAAAAGTTTGGCCGCAACTTTTCTTGAAACGAATCGCTCCATTACATTAATGAAAAGTCAACTCAATAACTCTTTGTTCGTGCGACATTGATTGAGAGGGCCCTCTACCCCTCTTCAATGCACGTTTTTCCTTTATTCGATGTGTTTCGAGAAACACTATTTTCATCTCAATATTTATCAAGAACCGTTGTGCGGGTTTCAAGTTTGCTCGAAGAAATAGAGTTTAGAGAGTGCAAATGGAGTTTGAGCTCCAGCTGGAAATATATGTCGCCAGACGACCTTTTCGTGATTAAATTTCACTGTTAAAATTGCAAATGGAACTTGTGACTAAATTGAAGTTATTCACATGCTATGAGCTTACTTCATCAAAGCATTGCACCGTAACTCGATTGAAAAAAAATTCAACTCGAATGGCTCGAACAATATAATTTTCTTCCAAACTGAGCAATTGCAAATAAGCAAAACAACCAAATGAAACCAGTAATATTTTCCAACCGCCGAAGTTCCTGAACCCAAACAGCTAATTTAATCTTCCAATGATTTACGGGTTTCTCGCTGGAAAAACGTAAGATCCTGGTAATAAAAACCAAAATGGAGCAACAAACCCGATCATTACCGTATAATGAAAATATAGTGCAAAACTTATGATGCCTGAAGCAGCTGCTTTTTTAAAAGCGCAGTATAAAAGCTCCCATGGGTCTAAGTGAGAGTAGTAAGGAAAAGTCCTAGGAAGATTTTCACATTTTTCATAATATAATTTTCATTATAAGCAAGTTAAAATTATCAACTTGACTTCAGATAAATTGCGTCTGTATTATTTGTTCAAATATGTGCCTCATTCAACAGCAGCTGAACGAGTCTCTTAAGACGTTAATAAACGAGAAAAGAGGAAAACGTAACGATGCTGGATGGGATAATCTCATAAATACTGAGATTTCTTACGTGACCAGAATTTGTCAGTATTCCTTATGTTCCTTTTGTACAGTCCCGAAAACGTCACTGCTAATTCATCCGGCGACTGAGAGTCTCAAGAATTATTTGTGACGGACATAATAATAATGGAATTTTGGGATGATTTAGCCTTCGCATAAAATCGCCATTACATTGAATTATCTGGTTCGTTTAAAAGTTACGGCAATTTAATAACCGAAATATTAATTAGCATTTAAATTGGGTTTTAGAGAAGCGCGAAATTTCGCAGAAAGTTTGAAACTTTTATCAAACAACTGTTTTAAAATTATCATATATTGATTTTATGGTAAAAAGTTTGCAAAATATTCTACATTTGCCCCTTGATAGTGAGCTACTAAGCATTTCCATGTTGGAAAATTGTTTGGCAAGCGATTTTAAGTAGTGTTTATTTTAATCTATAAAGTGGGTACTTAAACCTGAATTTTTGCATGGTTTCTCGTGATTCAATTTTTCATTAAAATTTTGATTCGAAAGTGTAAGAGTTTCGCTTTTATATGTTGTTTTTCGTTGCTCTATAGCAAGCCTTGCGAATTTTGAAAAACGACTATTTTGTTCAAAATTTATAGCAGCGACTATAAAATCCGCGTGTAGCTCTGGTGAAGCCCAATTACAGACAAAAGAACTACAATTTTTTCTAAATTTTAGAAATCACTTATAAGTTAATGAATCCGATTTCTATTAAGGCACGAACACGAACTTCCATGATATGGACGAAACATATTGAAAATTTCCCTTTACAATTAATAAACGACATGCAACAAAAGCACGAAAGAGTTGTTTAGAAAGGGTTGGAAAGATCGGTATGATAAAAGTGAAGGTGGTGAGTCTTAAAAAGCTCAACGGCAAAAAGCAGCGCTAATTTGCCCCGAGTTATTAACGTTTCTCATTTAAGCCGAAAAGCAGGAAAAGCAACAGGAACCACGTTAATAGCCAATTTTCCCTAACGCTTTTAATTGGCGAACATTTACTGTACCACAGCGAACGATAAAAGGGAATAATGGGCGGAAAAGAGGCCCCAAATAAGGGACAAATAACTTGCAATTATCAGCAGATACACAATACGACAAGGAAACCACTGAAAAAAAGTTATAAGATGGTGACAAAAAGCTTTAAAGAATATTTAAATGAAGCTTAACATACATTTTTAATGGTCTAGGAAGGAACAAACTAAATAGCTTCTGGTGAAAGTGATAAAACAGAATGAACTAATGAATGACTTTAAAACCCCATACTGAAGAAAATATAATCATTAAAAATGAGATTCAAATTCACATCATGTCGAAAGGTGAAAATCGAGTTTTCACAATTTTAAATATGTGATATTGGAATTTCCGCGTTGGCAAACATCAGCCCTGACAACACATTTTCAAACAAAAGAATGAAATATGGACTGAAGCGAAAATTACGCATTCAGGTGGCAGATCTGATGCATTCGAAATATTTAAATATATTTTCGCTACTGCTGCAAAAATAAAGCTTGGAGATTTCCTATGGATACAATGCCGAGAAAACCAGAAATTTAAATATTAGAATGGTGTTTGATTGTTGCGAAAATTACGCCTCTCTCCCCTCTCGGGAATTAACTTGAACAGTGGAAACCTTGAGAAAATTGGCAAAGAATAAATGCATTAAAAGAAGAGAACGTCCATTTTAATAGTGAAGTTAAACTCCCAGAAGGTTTTGATTTTAAGCGTCTATTCATCGTTGGAAGCTTTTCAGTGTTTTCGATCGTGTTGCAACTTGATCAATGTTTAATCTGGAAAGTTTAGTTCAGAGTGATTAGAATTCGCTTGACTTCTCGCTGGTGTGCCTTGAAAATTTATGTGCATTTCAAAAGAGAAACACACAAACTAAATAAGCAGAACAACTTTTATTTAATATGTTAAAAGTTTTAAAAAGTTCTTGAGATTTTTTCACAAAAACTCTTAGCAGTTGCAAATCTAAATATTTAAGCTAATTTTTAAATTGACTTGATGATTTTTATTGTTATTCATTAACTTAAAACCCTAAACAACTAAAGCGCAAATTGTGCTTTTAATTAAGTTAGAAAAGTGTTTTAGTTGATTTTAGTGAAATTTGAGGAAAAATCTAAAATGCGGACATTTTCGTCATAAAAACAATCCCCTGTCACACAAAGACTTTGGCGTATATTAAAACAAAACCTACCAACTTCCACTAGGCCGTGGAATATTTTAAGTCGGGCAAATTTCCCAGAAGACATATTTCGGTCAAACTTTTCTGATATGTGCTAAAGGGAATAAAGTGCAAAGTTTCGGGTTTGCAATGAGATTTCCACAGATATACATTACTGCCAAGAAAACGCTAATGTAGTTCCCAAGTTGCAGTTTCGGGAATAGTTGATACGTTATTAAAGCTGCCGGCTCTGAAAGAATAGGGTATGCCTGCTGCTATTTATAAGGATTTTTTTAAATAATTATTACGATACCAGGATAAAACAAGAAAAGCATTGGAAAAATTTTCCGGCCAGGAAAGCAATATCAATCTTATTTATTTTACCGGCACTAATTGCAAGCGAAAAAGCTTTCCCAACACTTTCACTATAATGATTTTTTCGGCTGGAATCATTAATTAAAACTTTCAGCAATTAGTGAGTATTATCCCCATTGTCATCCATAAAGCACGTATCGAGGCCTTTGTTGATAGACAAAGCTTCAAAAGCATCTGCCTAAAACTATCAAAACACTTTAATCAGTCTCGCTGAAATAATGGATCAAATTTAAATGAGCGCCACTTAAATTCGCCTGATTGAACCATTTTCATTAGAGCTAATCTGAAATTATCCCCATTATTCTGGCTAATGCTTCCGACTTATTCTTTTCCCTCAATACGCTTGCCTACAAAGTCTGCAGTTTATTTAATCAACAATATTTTATTATGGCCATTAAAGGCAGTTTCATTAACTTTGGTAGGTGCGCTATGTTTGTGTTTAATGGCCAGCGCAAACTACCGAAGCCACAAAACTGGAGGCGTTGAAATGGAATTACCTAATGGATGACAAATAAATCGTCATTTTTATGTGATAGTTAAAACACATATATAACTTTCTATCAGTAAATGGGCGCCAGCGGGTAAATGGGGCACGTTTAAGGTCTTCTGTTTCAGATGTAAATATATTGCACATCAATTCCCACTTTACGGGTTTGGACACGTTTATTGCGTACCTTGCTTTTAGGGCCTATTGTTTTACTTTAACATCTGCTCAAGTTCAGGTCGCTAATTTCTATATTTCACGCTTAATCCGGCGATAAGGTTAACTGAAAGCCGTTGAACATTATGTTAGTAACATCGCAAATAAGCGCTTATCGTACTTGCAATGTCTCTTTTTGTCTGGGTGATTTTTAATTAATTTTGCTTTACCTTTGGCTTTTGCTCAATGTCAGTTTTGCTTTTAAAAACTAAGTAGCTTTATCATGACTGACACAATAATGAGTCAAGCAAATTTCATTCAAAGCGAAGAAATAGCTGCAAAAGAAAAACTTTAATAGCCTGTAAAAAAAATTCTATTAGGTGCCTATTGTTTTGCCCAAAACACTTTTAAATTTTTACAATGCAAGTTTTTTCGACCAAAATATTATTGTTTTAATTTAATGGGCAGCATTTTACTGAGTGATGAATAAAACATTTATTTTCATGTCGGTAAACCCGCCCCTTATGTATCAAGATGCTAATTTAATTAAATCTCTTCAAATCCGTACTCGAGATTAGGGAAGGGTGCAATTAA